ATATCTCACAAACCATTGATATGAAAAGTAAATTATAACAAATATTGTAGAATTGAATATGAGTAATTATTTTTCCTGGTCCAGGCTAAATTAAGGTTAGAGGAGGGGTAGAGGTTTTCTCTAGGAATGATTTGGTCAGCCTATCGTAGAGACATTGATAATGCAGAACGCAGTGGACGTCCAAATAATGCAGTAATACGAGAAAACATAAAAAAATCCACGAAATCGTTTTGAATGATTGAAAAGTGAAGTTGAGTGAGTTAGCTGACGTTGTAGATATATCAAAAGAACGTGTTGGCTTTATATGCCATGAGCGTTTGCCTATGAGAAAGCACTGTTCAAAGTGAGTGCCGCGCGAGCTCACTGTTGACCAAAAACATGAACGTCTGATGATTCTCAGCAGTGTTTGGCCGTGTTTAAACATAACGATCGTCATCTGTGTAGAGAGCAACTAGTGAACCTTGTACAAATCGCCTGGAAGCACAACAATCGGCTGTAAAGGTTATGGTCTCGGTATTTTGGTAAGTTCGTGTTGTAATATTCATCTACTATCATGAGAAGGGAAATACCATCAAAAGTGAAAATTACATAGCATTATTAGAGGGTTTGAATGCCGAAATTTCGAAAATACGACTCCATTCGAAAAACAAGAAAGTGCTGCTTCATCAAGGCAATGCATAGTGTCACAAATCAATGGAAATCATGGCAAAATTGCATGAAATGGGCTTCGAATTGCTTCCGCATATACAATATTCGCCAGATCTAGCTCCCAGCGACCTGTTCCCAGACCTCAAATAACTGCTCACTGGTAAGCAATTTCGCTCGAATGAAGAGGCAATGGGTGAAACCGAGGCATATTTTGAGTCAAAAGATAAATTGTTCTGGTATTGAAACGTTCGAGTGGCGCTGGAGGTGTAACTCACTATATCTACCTTTCAACTTGCTAGGTATCGAAGGTGAAAACGTTAGACCTAGATAGTCCCTAGCTCGCACAAGTTTCAACTTTTGAGGATTATCGTTCATAGGAGGCGACAGCTGATTAACGGCAAACAGATTTTGACAGACTCAAAAAGATATTGTTTAGCGTAACATTTTCATGATTATGGTTTACTAAACCACATGTGTTTCGCTATATAATATCTAAAAGCTTGAGAGGTCAGAGAATTATACATTGAAGAACTTTCTAAAAGCGAAAAAAACTTAGAACAAATATTGTAGAATTGAATATGAGTAATTATTTTCCCTGGTCCATGGTAAATTAAGGTTGGAGAAGGGGTAGAGGTTTTCTCTAGGAATGATTTGGTCAGCCTATCGTAGAGACACTGATGATACAGAACGCAGTGGACGTCCAAATAATGCAGTAATACCAAAAAACATAAAAAATCCACAAAATCATTTTGAATGATTGAAAAGTAACGTTGAGTGAGTTAGCTGACATTGTTGATATATCAAAAGAACATGTTGGCTTTATATGCCATGAGCATTTGCCTATGAAAAAGCACTGTTCAAAGTGGGGGCCGCGCGAGCTCACTGTTTACCAAAAACAAGAAAGTCTGATGATTCTGAGCAGTGTTTGGCCGTGTTTAAAAATAACAAACCGGAAATTTTGCGTCGATATGTGACAATGAATGAAACATGGATCCATCACTTCACTCCGGAATCAAAACGATCGTCATCTGTGTAGAGAGCAACTAGAGAACCTCGTCCAAATCACCTGGAAGCACAACAATCGGCTGGAAAGGTTATGGTATCTTCGTGTTGTAATATTCATCTACTAGCACTACTACATAACATTATTAGAGGGTTTGAAAGCCGAAATTGCGAAAAAACGACTCCATTCGAAAAACAAGAAAGTGCTGCTTCATCAAGGCAATGCATAGTGTCACAAATCAATGAGTCAAAAGATAAATTGTTCTGGTATTGAAGTGGCGCTGGAAGTGTAACTCACTATATCTACCTTCCAACGTGCTAGGTATCGAAGGTGAAAAAATTAGACCTAGATAGTCCCTAGCCCGCACAAGTTTCAACTTTTGAGGATTGTCGTTCATAGGAGGCGACAGCTGATTAACGGAAAAACAGATTTTGACAGACTCAAACAGATATTGTTTAGCGTAACATTTTCATGATTATGGTTTACTAAACCGCGACATGTGTTTTGCTATATAATATCTAAAAGTTTGAGAGGTCAGAGAAATATAGATTTAAGAACTTTCTGAAAGAGAAAGAAACTGATTGAAGTGAGTATTTCATTTTAAAGAAGTGAAAACAAACTTGAACCTAGATTTTAATTCAAACATAAACTACGTATAAACCTATGGTGCCTATACATGTTTAAAGGAGTTAGTATATAGTTTTTAAGAAAAATGATGTGCCCACTTTCGAATTCCAAAAAATAAGTATCAGACTTAACTTTTGAGAGAAGTTAATCCATCGATTATCGATGTCATCTATTAACCCTGGTGGGAATTATTATCATGACGTTCAGAATGAAGTGAGTTATGGAAAGAAGAGGTTTTGGCTTTTATTTCTCTACCTTTATACAAAATAATGTGGAAATCTTCCAAAGAAATGAAGTCAGCAATAAAATCAACTTCATAAAAAGATGTGTAGATCATGCAAAGAAGTAATTTCCAGACACAAAAAGAATGAAAAAGCTCTCTCGAAACTAGTTTCATATAAAAGATGAACACTGATATTCAACGAAAGTCATTTTTTGTGGAGGAAAAAATCTGTTTTTTATCGACCTTTTTTTTGGGTAATTGTTACCTTCCACAATCTGAAAAAATATAAAAATTATAATGGAGAACTTTATAGAAGAAGTAATATTATAATTTGTAGTTATAATTCTTTTTTTGATGTAAATCAGTTTGATATTATTATTGACACTGATAATATCAATTTGATCGTAGGTTTGATAATGAAGATGAATCAAATCTTTGAAACATCACCAGATAAGTATACAAATAGAATTAGTTTCTGCGGTTAAAAATTTGAACATCTGAAATTCGTGTTGAACCACACTCAAAGTTTTGCATTGTTCAACGTTTCGGCTTCGACTTTGAATCCATTTTCAAGAAGTAGAAAAGTGTGGCTGTACTGAAAGATACACTTGAGGGTTTTGATGTTCTGGTCTTGCCAAACCTTTGAGACGGTATGACCCTTACTGACCCATGTTTCATTCAAATAAAAAATAGAGTTAAGGCCGAGACACACCTGTCATACACCCTTCAGATCCGACTCCCATCATACAGTCGGACGAGTGTCTGAGAGGGAAATGGTACTTTAGTCAGAATAGAGTAGTTCACGTTCCGATACGTGACCAACCCCGCTCCCACCCGACTCCGTTCCTGTATTCGACCATGATCCGATTGTGCAGTCTATTTGTTCTCCAGCTGCGGGACACGTATATGGCTAAAGGCTAATTGCACACACACCGATTTTAGTCGGCCAGTATAAAATCGGCTGATATTTTATTGGTAGCGGGTGCTTGCAGACTCACAGAATTTTTACCGGTCACATATTGAAATTGTAATTAGCACGCAGTACCAAAACTAAGTTAATACGTAGTAACTACAATTTCACCGAGCAGTCGAGACTGGAATGGTCGGTAAAAAACCGGTGAGTATGCAAGAGTGTATTTAGTCACTTACGCCACTACTTCACGGTACTACCGGCGATACAGCGGCAGTGGACGGCTGCTCACCGGTATTTTACCGGCGACGATCACCGGTCGGCGTGTGTGCCAGGTTCCGTTCCCACATGTGGGTCACTATTGGAATTTGGACGACCGGTATAAAATCGCCAGTCCAAAATCGGTGTGTGTGCAATTAGCCTTATCGGTTGGAGTTTGTATGATATTTGAGTTTTTTGTTTTCTTCAAATCAAATATAGACCATATCATTAAAACCGGAGAAGCTTATTGAACAAGTCATAAAATATCCAATTCTGTATGACCAGACTAAAGAGCTGGACCGCTGTTCTCTATGAGAGCTCTCCGATTTTCTTCATCTTCTTCTTCCAAACAGATTGCCTCAATGACTAAATCACAGTTGCTGAAATTTTTGAACATTTTGCCGAGGACCTTCCGAGATATTATTTGAACGACACTGGCGAGAGTGGCAAGTGTATCAAGCCAGAGTGGTGAAACGGAAAGAAGTCGGAAGCATGTATGACAAGTGTGATTACCCACTGGGTAATCACACACCGGTAATCCTGCACCGATCCGGTTTTGGGGCAAAATCAAACCGTATGAAGAATTGTGTCTCGGCCTTTACCCAATGCTCTGGCTTCCTTTATTTCTCTCAAATACCTAGGTTTTTCTCAATTCTACAATCTCTGATTTTTCTATTAACATCCTCTTTCCATCTTGTTTTCCAAAAGTGAAGTTCAGCTCTTGTAATGTTTTCCATAATCTGGTTCTTCTTATATAATATAACGAATAACTGAAAAAACTTAATTTGATGTAGATATTTCGTGTTTTATTCAAAAACAGTGTGCTGTTCTCCTAAATGGATGGTTTTACTAAAACCAAACCCTCTATCATGGCCTTCAGACTCCCAACAGAAAATAATGTTATATTTTCCCAATGAAAAAAGCCATGTCCTATTGATGGGTGCAGTGTGTCTGTTGACGGTATAATTTGAAGTAATTTCTATTTATACCGCCTCAAAAATAACAATGTTTTTTCAACCTCCTTCTGCTAGATACTTATTTGTTGGAGAATGTATTGTTTACTACTCACACACGTTTATACACACACGAGAGTCGATGGTGATCATGCTGTATTTAAAAGAAAAAACAAAAAAGCAGTACTTTGATAGGCCTTCTCCATTATTGGTATCAGTTGGTCCGATCGTGCAGTCCTAGATTTTCGGTTATTGAGATGACCCAAGACGACTTTTCAGAATTCTCAAATATGTTGAAAGGTATATTAGTGAAAAGAAAAAAAAAGACGTTGCACACAATGATTTTAAGTGGCAACCTGAGCGTACCTTAAAATACAGGAAACAGTGTGGTATCATCCAATTCAAAACCAGCTTAGATGATTATGAACCATACCAGGAGGTGTCGTTTTTGCGACAGAAAATATTCGCGAAATGGTTAGCTGATGATGACAGCGTCCCAAAAGTTAAAAGTACGTTATTATATCTTTAGAAAAGAAGCCTGATCTGTTGATTCTACTAGAGTTTATATCACCTGTCTTTCATCCGACTCAACTGTATCGACAAATCCAGATTTGAATGTTCTGAACACAAACTTTTCAAATGTTCATTTGAAAAACTGCGATTTTTGTTATTTCAGTCTGAGAATTAGGTTATTTTAGTTCTTATCACTTAACTCACTTACTTTTTTTTGGTTAATTCAATCTAAGTAGAAGGCGATATTTTTTTACTGTGTGGCAGATCACGTAAGTCAATATTATATAACTGTTTCTCGTGGCAGATGCAACAAGTCAATCAAAAATATCAATACATCATGTTGTGTATTTTGTTTCAAATCTGTATACTAAGTGTAAAATGCATTCAAAAGTATTGATAGTAGGTTGTTTTATTTTTGAATAAATCAGTTTTAATCCCCTCCTGGAAAGTGGACCTTTTTGACGTTTATATTCCATTATGATAAAGGAAGACTGTGCCGTTATGGAAAATATACCAGTGAATAGTAAATAACTAATTGATAAGAACAATCGGAAATATGCATACCTGAAAGATCACACAGAGTGATGTTTTCAGCAGACACAAAAATTGCAAATCTGCGTCTTCAAAAATATATCTGAACATTTTGAGGAAACGCTTTACTTTTCGTTTCAGAATGTCCTCCAGCGGACGACGGCATGGAACGATTCGCCTGCCCCACTCCTGATCGGCAGGGTAGATACCACTGTATAGATGACCACGTCCTCTGTGACGGATTCATAGACTGTCCTTCGGCAGAGGATGAGGACAGACAAGCCTGTATGTTTTATAAAACGGTGAGTAAATGTATTTTGTGTGCAATTATCCAAAAGAAAATAAGTGGAATCACGCCCAAGGCGAGAAGACGTGAGAGTAGGTAGTTTTTGTTTGAAACATTTTTTATAACTATTTCATTCGAAAAAATCTGGATTTCAATAAAATTGAGATACACTTCCGTTCTCTATTCTTGTTTCCATATACTGAAAACGAATTATTCATAATGTTCAACAAAAATTTTAATGATACTTTTTCCTCTGATTGTGACGAAATACTTCATGTTGTTGAACTGTCTCGCCAGTGCGAAAGTAGTGATTCACATTGAATTTGAATCGCTGGAAATTAAATCCATTTGGAAAAACGTTCTCATGGAGTTTATTCCACATAAACCCCGTTTTCCAAATGGAAACGATGAGCAGCCATATCCCATCGCGTATTTCTGATATGTACCGCTCTTGGTGGGAGTAAATGTGTCAAGTCACTCGAACACCTCCCGTGAAAGAGAGACAAATCTCCAACCTTTCTTCGATGTTCCAGACCATCAAGGTTGCAATTGAGGTTCGCTTCTCCAAACAGGCGGATGGTTCTTTTCTGGATGGAATCCTGCAGTTCCAAGGTATGTTAGTGGGCAAAGCTCCATACATGAGAATGATACTTCAAAGAAGGTCTGATCTGAACTTTACGAAGCATCAAAAGTTGCTGAGGTGTGTATAGTTTTCTGGTTCGGAACAGTGTTCCAAACTTTTGAGAAGCAGCCTTTGCAATTTCAGCAACATGATTGTGTCAAGACATATTGGTATCCATGTTAACTCCCAACAAACTTATCGAAGCAGAAAGCGGAATTGTCTGACCTGACATTATTATATCCAGTTCGAAAACATTTATTTCTATAATGTTCAACAAAAATTTTATTGATACTTTTTCCTCTGATTGAGACGAAATACCTCATGTTGTCAATTAATGGCATCTCTCGCCTGTGCGAAAGTAGTGATTCACATTGAATTTGAGTCGCTGGAAATTCAATCCATTTGAAAAAACGTGCTCATGGAGTTCATTCCACATAAACCCCGTTCTCCAAATGAAAACGATGAGCAGCCATATCCCATCGCGTATTTTTTATATGTACCGCTCTTGGTGGAAGCAAATGTGTCAAGTCACTCGAACACCTCCCGTGAAAGTATCTATAGAAGAGAGACAAATATCCAACCTTTCTTCGATGTTCCAGACCATCAGATTGAAAATGAGGTTCGCTTCTCCAATCAGGCAGATGGTTCTTTTCTGTATGGAATCCAGCAGTTGAAAGGTATGTTTGTGGGCGGAGCTCCATACATGAGAATGATACTTCAAAGAAGGTCTGATCTGAGCTTCACGAAACATCAAAAGTTGCTGAGGTGTGTGTGTATAGTTTTCTGATTTGGAACAGTGTTCCAAGCTTTTGAGAAGCAGCCTTTGCAATTCCAGCAACATGATTGTGTCAAGACATATTGGTATCCATGTTAACTCCCAACAAACTTATCAAAGCGGAATTGTCTGACCTGACATTATCATATCCAGTTCGAAAACATTTATTTCAGTATGATAAATTTATTTATATGTATGACATCTTGCAACTTTTTCAAAAATTTTTCACACATTCTTTCTGGAGATATTCTCATATTTTGTTGATCGGTTCAATATAATTACACAAAATCAACATGGGTCTGTGTATCGACTATAACTACTATTCAATAAAATATAGATGAAACCAGACCACAAAAGTGAAGCATTCAGTGAAGCAGACAGTGCTGTTTTGAACCACCATAGGTGAGGTGAGGCTAGGCTGAACTTCGAATGCAGTGTTGGAGGATGAAGATGACTAAGAGAAGGCGATAACATCGCCCTCTACAAAGGCGACATGTATGAAATCGACAGAAAACTCGATCTACGTATATATTAGAGATGAACGAGGCTACCGTTGTGAAGTCAAGCTTCGACATCGACCTCTGATTGAAGTTCGTCATCTTTCTTTGCAGCTTTTACTGCAAGGCAACTAGACGACATCAGAACCCAAAGAGGAATTCGGAAGACTTACCAATGATACTGTTTATACATTAATTAAATGTTTTCCGCATCAGTAGTATTTTCAGTTAACTGATTCCATAAGTGTCCAATATCTTTGAAAAAATAAAAATATAATTATTGTGAAGGTTGTGCTGGTTGAGCCCTACTGATGGCGCATGGGCATAAATAAACATTGACCATATCCCACGCCGTGAGGTTAGAGATCATTATTGGGTCTGAAAACCGTGTGCCTCAAACAAGCATAATGAGCCGTAAGCATAATCGCCATATCAGTTGTGCTGGTTCAGCCCTACTAATGAAGCACGAGCGCCAATGTCCATATCCCACGCCGTGAGGTTAGAGATCATTATTGGGTCTGAAATATTAGACAATGGACAATGCATCATGCAACCAAGAAAACAAATAATCAGAACAATCATCCCAACAGAATTGCCTGAATAGGATCTGTGCAGTTCGAAGGGAAAATCGCCATATCAGTTGTGCTGGTTCAGCCATACTAATGACGCACGAGCATAAATAGCCAATGACCATATCCCACACCATGAGGTTAGAGATCGTTATTGTGTCTGAAAACCATGTGCCTCAAAAAAGCATAATGAGCCGAAAATGACAGCCTTTTGCATTTGTCCAGCCAACACTCCCTGCCTTGATAGGGCAAGCCGGTGTGATTTTGAGATTCGAGGGTGGAGAGTGCATCATTCAACCAAGAAAACAAATAATCAGAACAATCATCTTAACAGAATGGCCTGAATAGGATATGTGTAGTGTGAAGAGAAAATCGCTATATTTCTTGCGTTTTTCCTCCCTTTTTCGGGCGATATTCTTCTCACTCAAAGCTGAAAATTTTACAATGAATATAGTTCCACTTTGAACGTTGTGATCGGCTAAATTAACCTTATGATGGAGAATGAATAGTTATAATGAATTCTTTACTTCTCATTTTCTACAACAAACTCATTTTTTCTGCGAATAATGCAACACTGGTATTAGGTCAGTACTGCAGGAGTTATCAATATATGTATAGTAATCCTAAAGCCGTATTGTGTCGGTGGATATAGGATGGAAAACCATATACTGGACATGTCAAGAGTACTAAAAACTTCTATATACATCACGCGACCATAGAAAACTAGGGTTTTGAAGACGCCATCCTTTCTGGCAAGCTATAACGAACTCTCCAGTTTTCAACTTCAAGCCATTCGACCTGAGAAGAGCAAACGTTAGGTATTTTGGTAAGCTGAGGTCTACAATGTTGTTGAAGAAGACCCAACAACTTATCATTGTGTTGTCGCAGAAATAATATCTCTGCATTTTGATGGGCTTTTTTTACTGAATAGGTTCTAACTCGTTAACATAGTTGTTATCTCTTCGTCCAGTATCGAAAACTGGATCAAGTTCATCTGCTGCTCTGGTAGTTGCATCATAAAGAAATGCTCCAATTTCTGGTCTCCATGGTCGAGACTCCACCTATTAAGCATTCTCCAAACAGAAAATTCTACGGCCTTTTTGGTGTCAGGGTAATTACCGTGGTACGATGTTCATTTGTGTTGGCCTACGTAATGTAATACTCCGAAATTAGTCTGTAGGTGGTCACTCAATTAATTTCAGAAGCTATCAAAGTAATTTCAAAAACTTCACCTCACGATTTGATCTCCACAAACTTTTGTGTGGAGATCAAATCGTGAGGTGTAGTTTTTGAAATTACTATAGTTCTTAATCAAGTAAAAGCCATATCAATCAGAAAAAAAACAAAAAATGTATGAAAGTAGTTTGTCTGAGGAGAATAAAAATATTGTAGTACTTCCCACAACAGAGTTGTTTCGTAGGGTATTTCAGATTTTCATATTGATCTTAGATACTGAAGTGGAGTTCTAGTCAATCTCCTTCTTCCCTATTTCCTAACCAATTTTGAACAAAGACAGGTAAAAAAAGAGCTCCAAATTTTCATTTTTCCACTGTTGTTTTCCCAAATTGTCATTTCGAAGTTGCTATCCAAAAAAGAAACACAATCAGAATATGACATTTTCATTAACTTTGACTTCTGGAAAGCCCAAACTGATCAGAAACACTTATAAATTACCTCCTCCGTTAAAACGGTTGGTATTACTTTCAAAGGGTGTAATTCGAGGGGATGAATTTGACGTAAACAAATAAAAGACTTTCTCAGACTGGAAACTCAACCACCTAACAGCAATCTGATTTTGTTTCGTTGGAGAGATTATATGGAGGCGTCAAAATTCTGATAGAAATTACTTCATTATCCCGAGGGAGGAAAAACTTTGACGATTTTCTTCAATTCGTTGCGAAGCACTCAAGATTACATTAGATGAAGCGATTAATAAATAGGCCCACGATTTTCACGAAAATTATTATTGTAATCTCTAATATGGGTTGTCACGTCATGATTCAGTATTTTGAATATAGAAATATTTTGGTTTCTTCTATCGTCCAGAGACAATATTCTAAACTAATTTCTCAACTGTGTTGTTCTTACAGTTATGTAGTCAGGATAGATAGGATATTTTCTGTAATACAGTAATTTCAAAAATTTGTTTTTAATTTTTTCCACTTTGAAAAGTGTAGTCTGATATTCTCCTAACCAAATTTCCGATCTGAATTAAAGTTTCGATCTGACTAGTGTGTAGTACAAAATATTCATAGCTTCTATATTGTAAAAATTTGATGTGTGTCTTATTTGAAGCCTAACATACAGTTTACTGATTCAATTATACTGGTTTATAATTATTACATGGTTTAAAAAGGATAGTCTATCATCATATGTAACATCCAGGTCTTTCATGTTACTAACGCTCTTCAACACTTGAATCATTTAATCAAATGTTATCGGTTCTTTTAACTTTATTAATCTTATAACACTGCATTATATGAAAAAAACTTACACATCCCAAAAGCGAATTGAAATGGTAGTTTGTACTAATCTGCAAAGCCCACTATATTT